GGGGGGGGGGAGGGGAGACAAAGAACAATTATACTTTAACATGATGCTGCTGTAAAAGAAAGGAGATATTAACCACTTCTGGTCCAAGTTTAACTGGAATTAGATGAAACTTACTAATTCTGGTCCCATTAAGTTTACATAAAATTGGTTAACACTTAATGTTTCTATCATTAACTGAAAAGGAAATAAGTAGCAGTTAAAACATCTTGTTTAAGTTTAACAAGAAGTCAACAATACTTACCTACTTTTACCTAAATAAGTGAAGAAGGGTAAATTTGTACTAATATGAACTTAGTTATGCAACAGGAATCTGATTTGTACCACAATACATCTTGAAATTGAAAATGATACAAAAATCCCATCTTCAGATAATATCTGACCTAGTGGTACCTGATACATGTTTGTTTAACATTTCAGGAACTTGGCAATTTATTGCCAGGTCATGACTTTGTCATCAACCTGTTTGGGAAGAATATCAGCAAGGTCGTGGACAGATGTGTGAAGGTCATGGGGAGAGTAAAGATTAAGGTCTATAGATGCCTGTATCATAACTACAAAGGACGCTGGAAACCCGACCTGGCCATAGGTGAGAAGTGTTACCACCTCTGTGATAAAGACTGTGTTACTCAGTGTATTGTAGCACAATTCATTATACCTCAGTATAACATACTTCATTTTGACAGGTGATGGAAGAAAATATATACCATAATTTCTTGCATATTACCCACTGCATTATATTGCCCACACACCTCAAAATATCATGTTTAGGAATAAAGTTTGCAGACTGCTCGCTCCAGTAGCTTGCCCGCAGGTTGTCTGGAGGTGTTTTTGTTACTTAAATTTTACAACAGACTGTTCCTTTATGAATTGGGAATTCATATTTTTATTGAAATTGGGAACAATTCCTCATTTTTTTGGTCATTGATTTTGAGAAAATAAGTCACTTTTTAGCTCGGGGAAACAACCTGTATTTGGCAGTAAAACTGAACACAAAAACATCACTGAATTCTGCTACATAAATTTTTTATTATACACAAAGAATATCAGGTTCTTTTCCATCGTCATGACAGATCAGTTTTATGTAGCTCTCAGCTGTACTGATTTTGCTATGTACTAAATTTTAGGAATCAATGCTTCAAATAAAGATATACTTGTGAGTTTTTCTACTTTATACATCATCGATATGATAACAGTTCCATTCATTTTTTTGATTTAAGCAGAGATGGCGACTGGTAGACTCCCATTAATTTATATTCACCCCTGCAGACACATTTGAACTCAAAGGTTGGAATTCAAAGGTCGGAATAGCTCATTATGAAATTTCAGGGGTGAATGAGTCAAGTACTCCACATATTCACGGCAAATTTCAAATTTCACGGCACAGTAATATGGAGGTCAACAAGTGTGTTGTTATATATATAATGTAAATGCATATTTGATGTTAATGTTCATAAAGAAGAAAATCGAAAAAGCATGAAAATAAGTCATGCAGTCATACATGAACATTTGTTTTAAAAAAAGGCCCTTAATAGATTAAATTTTAGGACAAAAATATAACATCACAAAAGGGCAATAAAGTGTTTTGGGCAGGCAATATGATGATCCTGAGCAGTCAATATGAAGATCCTGAGCAGACAATATGAAGATCCTGGGAAGACAATATGATGATCCTGAGCAGTCAATATGAAGATCCTGAGCAGACAATATGAAGATCCTGGGCAGACAATATGATGATCCCGAGCAGACAATATGATGATCCCGAGCAGACAATATGATGATCCTGAGCAGGCAATATGATGATCCCGAGCAGACAATATGATGATCCTGAGCAGACAATATGATGATCCTGAGCAGACAATATGAAGATCATGAACAGACAATATGATGATCATGAACAGACAATATGATGATCCTTAACAGACAATATGATGATCCAGAGCAGACAATATGATGATCCCGAGCAGGTAATATGATGATCCCGAGCAGGCAATATGATGATCCTGAGCAGACACTATGATGACCCTGAGCAGGCTATATGATGATCCTGAGCAGACAATATGAAGATCATGAACAGACAATATGATGATCCTGAGCAGACAATATGATGATCCTGAGCAGGCAATATGATGATCCTGAGCAGACAATATGATGATCCTTAGCAGGCAATATGATGATCCTGAGCAGGCTATATGATGATTCTGAGCAGACAATATAATGATCCTGAGCAGGCTATATGATGTTCCCAAGCAGGCAATATGAAGATCCTGAGCAGGCTATATGAAGATCATGTGAAGACAATATGATGATCCTGAGCAGACAATATGATGATCCCATGCAAACAATATGATGATCATGTGTAGACAATATGATGATGCTGAGCAGACAATAGGATGATCCTGAGCAGACAATAGGATGATCCTGAGCTGACAATATGATTATACTGAGCAGACAATATGATGATCCCAAGCAGGCAATATGATGACCCAAAGCAGGCAACATGATGATACTGAGCAGACAATAGGATGATACTGTGCAGACAATAGGATGATCTAATGATATTTTGACAAGACAAAGAAAAGAAAATGTTGCTAGGTGTATTGTTTTATGTCATGTGATGTGTTCTATGATAATTATAATGAAGTATAGTATTATATTAAGTTATAATGATAACTATCTCAGTTAGGTTATAAAGTCACTCTGATTACATGTCATTGAAGAAGATCACTCCACTTTTGGTTTGTAAAATATCATCATATTGATGCTTTAGGTCTTGCATTACAATATATCTAACTATTCATTTTATTTAACTATTCATTGTATTTAACTATTCATTTTATTTAACTATTTATTGTATTTAACTATACATTTTATTTAACTGTTCTTTTTCTTACTAATATACTGAAAAATGAGGAAATTTTGAAGTTTCTGATCTTTCCCTAATTCAGGTTTCAATGCAGGAATAGCAGCCTACCCATCCTGGAGAGATACAATCAGGAAGTTAAAGGTAGGGAGTTATACATAGAGGTTCTCCAACGGTACCGGTGGTTTACCATCCTATACCTGTCTATCTAACTCAAGCTTGTTCATTTTCAAATTGTATAAAGACACAAGGTTTACCGTTTACAATTTGAAAAGTTACTAATGGGAGTTAGATAAATTAAATATGATAATCAAACTTCATGCCTTTGAGAACCTTTTTCTCCCACAGAACGTTCAGATATTACATCAGAAAACCATTTGCTTCTCTTGCGAATTCATTATTCCTGTTTCGGATTGAGGAAACAATTGCGATGAACTATGATGTCACAAAGGAAGAAGTCATTGCAAAGCAATTTGCTACTTTACATGCCATAATTAGAAGATTGATCAGTGAAATTACGTCCAGGGTGTTATCCACTAGCGGGAAACCAAAACCATTTACCAACACCTAGCAGGTTTATTCAATGAGTTTGGGAATAAGGAAAGCTTTGATGATCGAGGTAGAATATCAAGATGGACACCTATGTGAGATATATTCAGCTTTGATACCTTCCACTTTGTAGTTATGACTTTGTACGTCTTTGGGCTGTCCCATTCCTGTGTTTTGTCTATAGTAACATGTACTAAGGTTCTACACGATTTGTCATGAACCCCTCCACAGAATTAGTTCATATTTGAAACCCTAGTATGGTAACATCAAGTTGTACACCAGATTACATGTTTGGTTGTCATTGGTCAATGTTAAAGGTCAAAGGTTACACTTGACCAGTTTTGAGGTAAAACAATTGTCTAGACGATATCCCTTGAACCCCTCAACAGGTTTATTATATATGTTTACTCCATAGTTTGGTAACATCAAACTCTTGGTTGATATTATCAATTGTATTATTTACTTTTAACTTTCAAATTCTTTTTGAAACTGTGCCCTCAAATGAACTTAGCTGTTACAAAGACGTTAAACACAATAAAACCAAAACCTTCTGAAACGTTTTGGTCAGGCTGTGTGCACTTACCTGGTACATCATACGTAAAAGTATTTATTGTAGCAGACTCAAACTTTATTATATTATCAATAAACATTTAACCCCATTGATAAATTGGTGCACTCACAACATATACAATAGAACACAGTATACAGTGTATAAGAACTTTGATCAGTGCAATATCTAAAGTGCAAAAAGCACTCAAACTAGAATACTGGCTTCAATATATATTTTTATAGTATATGAAATACCCGGTAACTCAAAATGCAAGGAAAATATCGAACAATGTTAAACAATGGGAAGTCTAAAAGAGCTATTAGTTCGTATATTTAATTATAAATAGTTTATTACATTGATCTGTTCATTCCTAAGAAAAATAACATTGACTGCCAACAATGAATTATTTAACATTTTTGCAATACGGCATGTGCTAGTGAATTCACTTCTACTAAGACTGATTACAAAATATTGATTTGTTTTGATAGTATGATGAGTGAACATATAAAAAAAACACCATTGTCATGGTTACACAGGCGTAAAGAATGTCTTGGGTGCGACTTCATACCTGACGTGTAGTTCAATTATGTCATAAATTGATTTTCTGTAGTCTTTAAGAGAAAACACAGCTCGTTGCAGCTGCATGGGATCATAGATCAGATTACCAAACTATGATATAAAATTTTGAAAGAAATTCCAATATGTTTATATAGTGCCTGATGTTTGTTTCAGGATGAGCAGATCCCAGCCTACTTCACCGACTACTGTCACTACAGCGCTGACCTTGGTCGGGAGGTAGTGAGGGAGGGGTGTTATCTGGAGACATCCACACCCTCCGTGAACCCGTTCAGGAGTCCGATGAGGCGTGTCTGTGAACAACACCTCCTGCCATGGTTCAGTAATGCCTTCATCTTTCACCTGATCTACTCGCCCATTAAACAAAGCTGACACATACCATTTTGTTGATTATTTTTCGGTGAAAGCGGGGGATATTAACTTGGGTTTGTCTGTCTGTCCGTCCGTCTGTCTGTCTGTAACGCTTCGTTTCCGTGCAATAACTACAACACATATTAACCGATTTTCCTTAAACTTGGTCACAGGGTTAAATACCTTAAGGGCTGGACCAAGTTCGATCACCACTTACAGCGGACCCCATTTGGCGGAGTTATGGCCCCTTGAATAATGAAAAACGTCATTATCTGCCACGCTTCGTTTCCGTGCAATAACTACAACAAAATTAATGTTAACCGATTTTCTTCAAACTTGTTCGATTTTGATGAAAATGTGAATGTAGGGATATTAGAGGACTGCGAATAAAACCGCATTAGTTTCGTTACCATAGCAATCACACGGAGGTTTCTGATTGGTTGAAATTTAGATATTGTTTGATTTTGATGAAAATTGGTATATAGTGGTATAAGGGGACTGCGAATTCAACTGTATAGGTTTCGTTGCTATAGCAACCACATGGAGGCTTCTAATTTGACGAAATTTAGATCTTTTTCGATTTTTATGAAAACTGGTATATAGGGTTATTAGGCGTCTGCGAATAATACCGCATAAGTTTCGTTACCATAGCAACCACCCAGAGGCTTCTGATTCGTCTCAATTTAGATATTGTTCAATTTCGATGAAAATTGGTATATAGGGGTATTAGGGGACTGCAAATTCAATTGCATACGTTTCGTTGCCATAGCAACTACACAGGATTCTGATTGGTTGCAATTTAGAAATTGCTCAATTTCACTGAAATTTAGTATGTACATTGTAGGTGTACTATGACAATGCGATCCTTTTCTGATGCATCTTTGCGACTATGGGGGCAGTTTGGGGGACATCTGTAATAGTCCCCCATTACAATTAGCACTTGTTATACCATGACTGCCTTCTATCGGTCTTTGCCACTTATCCCTAGCGCACGGAACGTCTTCCACACAGACTGGACTGGGAATCCACAGCAACCCACTTCTATTGGGAATAGCCAAGTCACCCATCCTCGTGACTGGCAGGTCTCGTTAAGCTTGTAATACTTAGCGCTTTTTCTCTCGTGAGAGTCATCGCATCTCTCTCATAAGGCACAGTCAGTTCTATCATGATGATTGTCTTGTCTTCGGCTGTCCTACACCATACCTCAGTCACGTGTGAGATAACTCTCTCACTACACAGTCACCTAGGATATAACACTAACACTACACAGTCACATAGGATATAACACTAACACTACTCAGTCACCTAGGATATAACACTAACACTACACAGTCACCTAGGATATAACACTAACACTACTCAGTCACCTAGGATATAACACTAACACTACTCAGTCACATAGGATATATCACTAACACAAGTACGACATCTGGTCGCAATATTGTGTGGACTACATTTGGGAAGACTTAACGCTCGCCAAGGTCTACCGGGATCTGCCACAATGAACCGTCGAGCAGTCTTGCTGGTTTGATGAGATGCTGGTTTGGGTTTTCCACTGCTATCTCTTTCAGGCGTCCTTTCTTGATCACCATGCATCTGGACGTCTTCGGCTTGAATTCCATCCTGTCCCAATTCAGTTTCTTTTAGTGCAGATTGTACTTTTACTCATAGTGCTTGGATGTGTGAAGTGGTGGTGATTGTCATGTGATCCATGAATCCTCTGTTTGCTGGTACGTGGATCCCTGACTGCATTCTGGGTCCTCTCGTCTCTCTATCGGATGCTCTTTAACGACGAGGTTCATTTCCATTACATACAGGATTTGAGAAATGGCGCAGCCATTTGCAATGTCTCTCTCTCTTAATCTTGCCACTTTGTCGTTTACTATCGTAGCAGGACCTCACCAGATTCCACAGAAGTAGTCGTTGACGATCTCTCTGACATCTTCTGGGACGTGGTAATCAATCTGCCGTAGCCATCCGGATGAGTTGATAAGGAACTTAACCATAAGCGTTGGGCAGGTCTAACCACACATGCGTCAGGTCACCTTTATTCTCCTTGGTCTCCCTTGTCAACTGGCTAATGACATTGACATTGCTGATAAGAGTACAACCATATATCCGATGAAGCATTCCAGATTGTGACCGGAGAATCGAAAGTGTATAAAAGGAGGGTGTGGTTCCTATTGGGCAGAAGAGCAAGGCCTTAAAGGGGAAATACATGTATGTTCATTTTAAAATTAGCAATAAAGCAATGATTTTTGACATGGAGCATCCCTGGGCCAAGGAAGGTACTCCGATATTTCCTAGAGTTAATTACCTTGTTCCACTTTCAAGTTCGCGTCGGCCAAATGTGTTAAAACCTGCAAACAAATTCAGTAGTGATCCTGGTGTTTAGTTGGCTTTGTTGAAGGGCATCAACTTTGTTCAAATACCTTGACCGACTTCCTAGGTCACAATGGTAAAATATAACAAACAATTAGAGCAACTTCCTCCAAAGGACCATAAGAGGCTTGTTTGCCTGTGAGACTGTCTCATTGTTCAAAGAAATGACTTAAGCCCACGTTGAACGTCACACAAGTACAATCTGTTAGAATCTTCCAACAATGTTCCTTAATATGTAGAGTATTCACATTTTACGTGCAGGAGGGAATTGCTTGCTATAAAGTTTGTTTAAATACATTTGACCTTGACCCATTTTGAAGGTCAAAGATGTATGATGTGTTTGCTAACAAAATCGATGAAAATATGTGATCAATACAGGTATGTTGAACCCCTTGTTTACTCAGTTTAGGTATTTCCATCGTCAAAACCGAGTGTTTATGTTGCGTCATGAAAAATTGAGAAGCACCTGGCCTACATTTGTGACATTGCCACGTTTAACGTGGTTTCACTGTTCGTAGCACCCATCCACCCATCCCCTGTTCGACGATGAATGGTATATAATCTATAAGTGTACATATGAATACTTTAGATCAAAAGGAACAGCTCATTATTACTTGACTTGAAATGAATATCGTTAAGGAGAGCCATTCATATATAAATATCCGTCTAAGTTATATTAAAATTCTTATTCATACACATTTTATTATTTTGTAAATCTAATTAAAAAGGGGGTTTGGTGCGTGAGATTTATTTATTTACATATATAACGCTGTATTGTAGCTATCATATTCGTTTACCTATTATACTGTCCTCTCCTTAATTGACAGCCTGAACATGATGTTTCACATCATGACAACCTTATATTAACTCTCTTTGATAGTCCAAAAATACCAGGAAGTAATAAGCACTGGACGAATCAATATTTCTTTGGCGGTCTCAATTTGTCATTTTCTTTATTGCAGTTTGAAAGTAATGATGCTTGACAAAAAAGCATTATTTTTTCCTAGCGATCATAAATAAGTTGGTATGTGACAACCTATACTATTGCATTCTATATACGAGCTTGTCTGAATAGATTATATTGATCACATGACAAGGGGTGTCCTCAAAATGAGGAATATATATATTATATAGATACCTCTAACACCATACCTCAGTCACATATGAAATAACTCTCTCACTACTCAGTCACCTAGGATACAACACTAACACTACTCAGTCA